ATGTGAGTTACCCCACAAGGTCTCTGTTATTCCAATCACAGCATAATTCCTTGACTGTGCCAGGACTTCCAGTTCTCCCTGCTTGGAAAGTTTCCCAGGCTTCTTGCATTTGTGTATAGGCACTTAAGATAACGCCCTGATCATCCTGCTTTGAGCAGGGGGTTGGACTAGATGACCTCCTGAGGTCCCTTCCAACCCTGATATTCTATGATTCTAAGACCTCTAGGGATCTCACTATTGCAAGTGATTTCACAGGGAAGGTGCTCAGATACGGTGGTGATGGGCATCAGTATAAAATCCTAAAATGGATAGATTACTTACTGATCCAATACTGATGTAGTATCACTTTGCATTCCCATACTGCTTGATAAAACTAGCTGAGCCTTACAATGGATAGGGAAGTTTTATTATCAAGATGAGGAAATTGTGCTCCTTCTTTGTCATGCCACGGGGGTGCCTTCATGTTTAGCACTGAAACACGCTATTCAGCTATAACTGCTCTCCCAAACATCACTGTTGGAGTTCAGAAAACTTCCCAGGGGGCAGAATCCCAGGCTGGTTGGTGTAGGGGTTGAGAAGGACCACTCCGATTGCCAATCCCAATCCTCTGCTTCCAGCGGGGAAGCACCCAACATTAATTGCCATCAACATATCTAGCCTCACCGAAAACACATCTGGGGGATATGCTGTAATTACCTCACAACAGAGTTTGCTCCACTATTTCATTGTTCCTGATCATCAGACATTTTCTGGTAGCCCAGTAACATAGCTCCTTTCCCATTGTTAGTCATTTACTCCTTGTCATCCCTTTCGTGCAGCATGAAATGTTCATTTGTTTCCCTCCTTGCTACCCTCATCACCTTTCAGCTAGCACTAGCTATCCTCCCTATAGTATCCCTTCTTTAAACAGTCCTTCCTTAAACAGCTGCTGTCTCAAGAGGTATAAATTGAAGGCCCGATCCTGTTCACCCTGAAGTCAATGGGGAAAAAAGTGTTTCCTTGAAATGTTTCTGAGCAGCCCAAGTTGTTTCTCCAGACATCGAGGCAAAAACCTCGTCTTGTGCAAAGTGCCGTGGGATCTTTATGAACACAAGACAGGACCTAGGTTTTATGTGTCATCCAGCAGCACAGTATCCCTCAGCACCAGAACCATAATGTCTCGGAGGGAAATATGAGCTTCCTATTGAATCCCCGGTGCCAGCACCAAATCACAAGCATCGCTGCTTTCCTTCCTCCTGCTACCAAACATAGAATCCCCCTTGCACTTCCTGTTGTTGGTTGCTGCCCTGTGTCAATGACAAAGAATCTCAGAGTTGCTTTCTTCTAACACTGAACAAGGAACTTCATTGGACTAAGGAAAACCAGATCATCCCTAAAGTACCCCGCCTCTTTCTCACTATGTCTGGCCAACAACTTCCCCTTCCCAATTCATTTCCTGGCACGGTTTTAAAGAAACGGCCCACCCATCCTCAGAATTGCTGCTCAAAATTCAGGCAGCAAGACAGAGACAGCCCGCTCCTCTTCAGCTGGGGCTGCTCAAGTTATAGGGAGAGCTCCCTCCTCGCCAATGTTCAGAGCTTCCCCTCCTGGACACTGTCAGAAGACAGGATACTGGGCTAAATGGACCTCTGGTCTGACCCAGTAGGGCCGTTCTTATGTTCCGGTTCTGCGCTCCTTTAACCAGTGTGCAACCCACTGGTGAACGTGGTACATGCCTCCCTCTGTGCCCAGCCCACAGAGGCTCTGAGGCTGTTACAGCCCCATCCACAGAGCCTGGCTTCTCCGCTCAAGCGGTGGAGAGTCTCCTGGTCCATTTCAGGTAGGTTCTTAGGCCTCCCAGCCTAGGAGGGCCCAAGTTCAAACCTCGCCAAACTGGCGGCCACCACGATTCCACCGAATAAACCAGAGAGCTCAAACCTAGTGCTGCTTGCAAACTAAACCAAAGCCCCACCAAGACCAAATCATTTTCACAGCAATGCCCTGGGCTGCCAGAGCTAGGTAAATACAATGTGTTTCCTGTTCCTTCCATTTCAAGGGTGCCTAGCGATTTTTACTCCCCTTCTGGTCCTATGGCCAGGGGTGGAGTAATCACCTAGGATGGTGGGTTACAGAGTCTGCTCTTACTGTGCTTCCTTGGAGGAAGCACCCTCTGGGGAGACACGGTTTCCCAGTGACGGGCACATGAGTCATCAGGCGCTGCGTATTCACGTCAGGCAGCTCTGTGATCTATCACGCACCCACCTTCTGTAAACAAGTCAAGAGGCTCTTAAAATGGCAGGGGCGCTTCTTCCTGCTGTCTGAGCCGTGCCGCGTCGCCCTGGGCGGGGCGGGGGCGGCAGTGCATTAGAGTCTGGAGTCCGAAAGAAATATCAAAGAGCTCCTGAAAGAGCAGGAGCTCTCAGGGCTGGGCCAGAGCCCTGGGGAGTCCATCCTGGCAGGAACTGGAGTAGCTGAGTGCCAACAGGGCAGAGGGTGACTGGCCAGGTCCCCCTTCCCCTTCCTCGCACCCAGACTAGACCGGCAGACCCCATCCTCCACCCCCAGCAGGGGACCTCAGGCTTCAAGCTGGCCCTGCTCCCCCAACCACATAGATTCATAGATATTTGAATCATAGATTCATAGATATTTGATATTTAGGTCAGAAGGGACCATTATGATCATCTGGTCTGACCTCCTGCACAGTGCAGGCCACAGAATTTCACCCACCACTCCTGCGAAAAACCTCTCACCTATGTCTGAACTATTGAAGTCCTCAAATCGTGGTTTAAGTCCTCAAATCGGCCTGGAGAGGAAGAGTCCCTGGGGACAGAGGTAGCCCTTAAGAGCAGAGAGATCCCCAAGCAGGCAGGCTGTTTACTGCAGAACTAACATAATTTTTGCAGAGCAGCAAACCCCAGTAGAGCAGTGATTGAGCATCCACCTGGGCCGCTTGAAAGCATTCCCGTTCCTGGTTATGTGCAGCACCTGGCATGTGCTCTTTAGATATTCAGAACAGAAAAGCTCAGGAAGATGGCAGGGCTTAAAAGCAATCTCTCCAGAGAGGATGCGCCAAGGTTAAAGCAGAGCAGATTGGGTTTTGGTGCCATCTGATAAAGCCTGACAGCATCAGAATCGCTCCCCATGCTTCCTGGAACCCAACGGCTCCCGGTCATGTGCCAGCTGCCGCAGGAGGGCCGAATCTGGCTTGCTTTACTCCCGCTGGTAATCCACACTGGCTACTCAGCCGAGCGAGGCGAGCAGGGCGTGGCCCTACCGTTCCGCTGTGCTGGGTGTGAAGCAATCAAGCTGCCTGGGTGCCAACCCGCCAGGTGTGCGCCGAGATGGCGGAGAAGCGAACAGATGTCAGGAGCCCACATGGTGCTTTGGCGGCCGTGGACGGTGCCTTGTCACATCAGCTCTTCATCACCTTCCCTTTTGTTGGAGTTAGCTGCATTGCCAGTTGCCTGCTTCTCTCCCCGCCCCGTCCCCCCCAGCGAGATGCTGCTGGCACCACCTGGATCCCAGGAGGGCGCCGATGTGCCAATCAATTGTTCTTAGCATGAGATTTAAAGAAGACAATGAAAGAACAAAGGGCCAGGTCCCCTCAGCTGATGTAGAGCTCCATTGATGTCAGGGAAAAGAAGATTTACACCCGCTGAGGATCTGGCCCTATGTACTTCCAGCTTGCCAATACGGCGACTAAGGGACAATTGTCTACAAGTATCTGAAGGGTGTCAATACCCAGCTCCAGAGTCTGCGCCTCTTATTCCTGAGTAGAACTGTAGGCTGTGAGTAGCCTCCTGGACGCTCGTGGATGTACTTCTAAAGTATGTCAAGGGTGCCTAGAGCATATCGATCAATGCCCTTTTTAGCATTGCTAGAAATCTAATCAAGAAAGAAATGGTGAGTGACTGTAAAATGCAGGCTGGAGGGTTGCAAGTTCCTTGCTATAGGAAGCCAGGAGCTGCCTGCCAGTGCTGCCCAGTGGTCAGTGAAGTTTGATATACTTTTTCCAACAATGGCCAGTACCAGATGCTTCATGGCAAGAGCTCTATAATAACCTGCCTATCTGGGCAGTTCTGCCTAACCCTGGGCAGTTAGCGGTTGACATATACTCCGAGCCCAAGTGTCGATATTGCTTACATTTTTTATCTTATCTTACGTAGCTGAGCTCATTGTCCAGATATACAGCCAATCTCTTTGCTTCAGTGACATCTTGTGGCAGTGAGTTCCACAAGCTAATTTTGATGTGTGTCAGGAAAAAAAAAAGTCCCTTCAGTTTCAAATCTGCTGCCTTTAAATTTCATTGACTGTTCCCTTGTTCTGGCATTATGACAGAGGGTGTTCTGTTCACCCTCTTATCCTGCTTTATACCAGGCTTTATTTCATATACATCTATCACAGCCCCTCCTAGTCATCTCTGTTCCAAACCAAACAGTCGCAATCGTTTTAAGATCTCATATTCGGAAGACTTTCCATTCCCCCACCCTTTTTTGTCACTCATCGCTGAACCCCCTCTATTTCCGCTCCATCTCTTAGGTGCTGGGAGGACCAGAACTGGACACAGGGTTGACGGCTGATTTAGACAAGGCTAGCTTGTAGACTGTCAGTATGATGTAGCCCATGGGGGTAGTAATTTGCTGCCCGTCTATCTCAGCAGAAAATCACCACCTTCCCCGTACTGGCTCGGGATTGTGTGTTGGGAGCAGGCCCATGTCTCACCCATTTGCACCACGGTGGGGAACAGCAAGTACAAGCACCCGTTTACCCCTGCATGCCCAAATACACTGGACAGGCCAGACAGGCATAAACAGAGCAGAGCTGTCTTGGTCTCCCTTATGACACAGCCACGCAGTGCAGTTCCAGGAACAATCTAGCCCATAGTGAATACAGACTCTACAGATTCCAGCTACTGGGCTAGGTAGAAAACAAGCATTACCAGCAAATGTGTTTGTTTCCTCTGAATCTCTTACAATAAAAACACCTCCTCGGTTCACCTCTGTTATTTTCTTCTCTTCCAGGTGGGCTGCAAGGCCGCGATGGTTTTCTTTCAGTACTGCATCATGGCCAACTTCTTCTGGCTGCTGGTGGAAGGCTTGTACCTGCACACCCTTCTGGTCATCTCTTTCTTCTCAGAGAGGAAGTACTTCTGGTGGTATATCCTGATTGGCTGGGGTATGCATTAGCGCCTTGAATATGAATGGTAGGAAAATGAACTCAAGGTGACCTGGAGCTGTCTCAAGCAGGGACTTAACCCCTTTGCATGTGGGATCAGACAGGAGAGGTGATATGTGTGCATTACCTCTCTGCCAGATGGCATTAGTGGTGGTAGCATCAGACTCAGATGAGGGTGTCTCAGGGTTCTGTTTAAAATAAACCAAATGGTTGGCTTGAGTGCCCCCCCCCCGGAAACCTTATTCTGTCCCATATTTCAGGCACTTAAAATGTGAAGCATCTGGAGGTGTTTTTTCCTCACTCCGATGCACACAGGAGGCCTTGGGAATCTGAAACCACAAGTAGCCCATATATGAGAAAGCAAATAAACCATCTATTTGTACAGTGAAATGAATGAGCAAAATCCAGACATAAGAACGGCCATACTGGGTCAGACCAAAGGTCCATCTAGCCCAGTATCCTGTCTTCCGACAGCGGCCAGTGCCAGGTGCCCCAGAGGGAATGAACAGAACAGGTCATCATCAAGTGATCCAGCCCCTGTCGTCCATTCTCAGCTTCTGGCAAACAGAGGCTAGGGACACCATCCCTGCCCATCCTAGCTAACAGCCATTGATGGGCCTACCCTCCAAGAACTTACCTAGTTCTTTTTTGAGCCCTGTTATAGTCTGGGCCTTCACAACATCCTCTGGCAAGGAGTTCCACAGGTTGACTGTGCAATGTGTGGAAAAAATACTTCCTTGTTTGTTTTAAACCTGCTGCCTATTAATTTCATTTGGTGAAATGAAAGCTAGTTCTTGTGTGATGAGAAGAAGTAAATAGCACTTCCTTATTTACTTTCTCCACACCAGTCATGATTTAATAAACCTCTATTATATCCCCCCTCAGTCGTCTCTTTTCCAAGCTGAAAAGTCCAGGTCTTATTAATTGCTCCTCATGTGGCTGCTGTTCCATACCCCTAATCACTTTTGTTGCCCTTTTCTGAACCTTTCCAATTCCAATAGATCTTTTCTGAGATGGGGCAACCACATCTGCACGCAGTATTCAAGATGTAGGCGTACCATGGATTTAGATAGAGGCAATATGATATTTTCTATCTTATAATCTATCCCTTTCAGACAGACAAAGTATGAACCAACCCCGCAGTCTCGGTTCGTACGTGCCCCGCTTGGCAAGGGCCCAGAACTCTGGTTTGTAAAACAATCCTCACCTACCCACAACATTGTCACAATTGGAGTCAACGTCTCAATAGTGAATGAGATTGAGATGGTGGGTGGAGATAGGCCTGGAAGGGCCTTGACAGCGAAAACAAGTAGCAACTGTGACACTGATCCCTCTTTCTCTTCTGATAGGTGCTCCATCAGTTTTCATCACAGCCTGGACTATCATCAAGGTTCACTATGACAACATTGGGTAAGTCTCTGAAGTCATCTTAATTTCTTCGAATTTAAGACACCTTAAAGGGAAACGTATCATCAGCTATCTCAAAACTCTGCTCTGCAAGAATGAACTGTAAAAAGTCTTTGAAAATCAAATTTTTCCTTTAGAATTGGCCTTTCTGAGAGGTGAGACCAGTTTAACCAGCATAAAAAGAACTGTCTTAACAAGTTAAAATGAAGAACATTCGCTTTTAAATCTAATGAGCGAAAGGATGGGCTTGTTTTTCGAGCACAAGGCCAGGAGCCCCAAGATCTCAGTTCTAATCCTGGTTCTGCCACATGGAATTTACTCCCTCTCTGATTCACTTTCCCGATCTGTGCACAGAGGTAATAATATTAACCTGATTCCCAAGGGATTTGTGAGACCATGGCTAATTCATTAATGCTTCTAAAGGTCTTTGGTGTGCTTGGATGGCAGCTGCTTTGGAAATGGAAAGTATTATAAAACATATTGGCCAAATTCATCTGTGGCGTAACACCACTAATGCTAACTAAATTGAGATCAGTGCAGTTACCCCAGGAATGCATTTGGCCCATTGTGTGCCCATTTGACCCATTGTAAAATTCCGAAAGGAGCCAATGGGAGTTGCACTTGCATATCTGAGTGTACAGTTTGGCTCTATGGGTTCATGTTTATTGTCGATTATTTTAATCCAAGATTAAAGCAGTAGGGAACTGCCTTCGGGTCTCCGAAATGGGCCCTTCCACCCATGTCACAAGTAATGGTGGCCACCAAGAAGTGACCATGTCATTATCATTGCTGCTGTGCTAATGTAGGGCTCATGTCTCACTTCCCCTTTCACTTGCAAATTACTGTACAAAGCTGACAGCAACAGAGTACTCTTCCCATTTCCGTCTGGTGACCCTGCTGTAGCCCGGGATCTCTGATAACAGCACAGTTCTGTTCAGATGTTGGGCTTTTTGTGACTCCATAGAAAGTTACACGAAGGTCCAAACCTGCCAAAGATGCCACTTTGGGGATGGATCCTGTGAGGGTGCAGAGCGCTCTCGCTGTCCATTTCAATGGGAGGGGGCCAGCTTGCTGGAGTGAGCGCTATATTTGTGAGTGCCACAGTAGCTGAATAACCACCCCATGCCTCTCCCACCATAGTCTCCAGTGACCTTTTCCCAGCCAAACCCTTCAAAAACCCTTCAAACTCCACCCCCATCCTCCTGGACCAATGCTTATGTTCTTCTTCTTTAAATCTGGATCAGGTCAATTATAGCTAACAAGATGGGTCAAGTTGATTTAGTCGGGGATTGGTCCTGCTTTGAGCAGGGGGTTAGAATCATAGAATCATAGAATATCAGGGTTGGAAGGGACCTCAGGAGGTCATCTAGTCCAACCCCCCTGCTCAAAGCAGGACCAATCCCCAACTAAATCATCCCAGCCAGGGCTTTGTCAAGCCTGACCTTAAAAACCTCTAAGGAAGGAGATTCCACCACCTCCCTAGGTAACGCATTCCAGTGTTTCACCAACCTCCTAGTGAAAAAGTTTTTCCTAATATCCAACCTAAACCTCCCCCACTGCAACTTGAGACCATTACTCCTTGTTCTGTCATCTGCCAGCACTGAGAACAGTCTAGATCCATCCTCTTTGGAACCCCCTTTCAGGTAGTTGAAAGCAGCTATCAAATCCCCCCTCATTCTTCTCTTCTGCAGACTAAACAATCCCAGTTCCCTCAGCCTCTCCTCATAAGTCATGTGTTCCAGTCCCCTAATCATTTTTTTGCCCTCCGCTGGACTCTTTGACACAGTACTCCAGATAAGGCCTCACCAATGTCGAATAGAGGGGAATGATCACATCCCTCGATCTGCTGGCAATGCCCCTACCTATACATCCCAAAATGCCATTGGCCTTCTTGGCAACAAGGGCACACTGTTGACTCATATCCAGCTTCTCGTCCACTGTAACCCCTAGGTCCTTTTCTGCAGAACTGCTGCCTAGCCATTCGGCCTCTAGTCTGTAGCGGTGCATGGGATTCTTCTGTCCTAAGTGCAGGACTCTGCACTTTTCCCTGTTGAACCTCCTCAGATTTCTTTTGGCCCAATCCTCTAATTTGTCTAGGGCCCTCTGTATCCGATCCCTACCCTCCAGCGTATCTACCTCTCCTCCCAGTTTAGTGTCATCTGCAAACTTGCTGAGGGTGCAATCCAGGCCATCCTCCAGATCATTTTTGAAGATATTGAACAAAACTGGCCCGAGGACCAAGGCTTGGGGCACTCCACTTGATCCCGGCTGCCAACTAGACATGGAGTCATTGATCACTATCCATTGAGCCCGACAATCTAGCCAACTTTCTATCCACCTTATAGTCCATTCATCCAGCCCATACTTCTTTAACTTACTGGCAAGAATACTGTGGGAGACCGTGTCAAAAGCTTAGCTAAAGTCAAGGAACAACACGTTCACCGCTTTCCCCTCATCCACAGAGCCAGTTATCTCGTCATAGAAGGCAATTAGATTAGCCAGGCATGACTTGCCCTTGCTGAATCCATGCTGGCTGTTCCTGATCACTTTTCTCTCCTCTAAGTGCTTCAGAATTGATTCCTTGAGGACCTGCTCCATGATTTTTCCAGGGACTGAGGTGAGGCTGACTGGCCTGTAGTTCCCAGGATCCTCCTTCTTCCCTTTTTTAAAGATGGGCACTACATTAGCCTTTTTCCAGTCGTCCGGGACTTTCCCCGATCGCCATGAGTTTTCAAAGATAATGGCCAATGGCTCTGCAATCACATCAGCCAACTTCCTTTAGCATCCTCAGATGCAGTGCATCCGGCCCCATGGACTTGTGCATGTTCAGCTTTTCTAAATAGTCCCGAACCATTTCTTTCTCCACAGAGGGCTGGTCATCTCCTCCCCATGCTGTGCTGCCCAGTGCAGCAGTCTGGGAGCTGACCTTGTTCATGAAGACAGAAGCAAAAAAAGCATTGAGTACATTAGCTTTTTCCACATCTTCTGTCACTAGGTTGCCTCCCTCATTCAGTAAGGGGCCCACACTTTCCTTGACTTTCTTCTTGTTGCTAACATACCTGAAGAAACCCTTCTTGTTACTCTTAACATCTCTTGCTAGCTGCAACTGCAGGTGTGATTTGGCCTTCCTGATTTCACTCCTGCATCCCCGAGCAATATTTTTATACTCTTCCCTGGTCATTTGTCCAATCTTCCACTTCTTGTAAGCTTCTTTTTTGGGTTCAAGATCAGCAAGGATTTCACTGTTAAGCCAAGCTGGTCGCCTGCCATATTTACTATCCTTTCTACACATCAGGATGATTTGTCCCTATGACCTCAATAAGGATTTTTTAAAATACAGCCAGCTCTCCTGGACTCCTTTTCCCCTCATGTTATTCTCCCAGGGGATCCTGCCCATCAGTTCCCTGAGGGAGTCAAAGTCAGCTTTTCTGAAGTCCAGGGTCCGTATTCTGCTGCTCTCCTTTCTTCACTGTGTCAGGATCCTGAACTCGACCATCTCATGGTCACTGCCTCCCAGGTTCCCATCCACTTTTGCTTCCCCTGCTAATTCTTCCCAGTTTGTGAGCAGCAGGTCAAGAAGAGCTCTGCCCCTAGTTGGTTCCTCCAGCACTTGCACCAGGAAATTGTCCCCTACACTTTCCAAAAACTACCTGGATTGTCTGTGCACCGCCGTATTGCTGTCCCAGCAGATATCAGGGTGATTGAAGTCTCCCATGAGAACCAGGGCCTGCGATCTAGTAACTTCCGTGAGTCGCCAGAAGAAAGCCTCGTCCACCTCATCCCCCTGGTCCGGTGGTCTATAGCAAACTCCCACCACGACATCACCCTTGTTGCTCACACTTCTAAACTTAATCCAGAGACACTCAGGTTTTTCTGCAGTTTCATACTTGAGCTCTGAGCAGTCATACTGCTCCCTTACATACAGTGCAACTCCCCCACCTTTTCTGCCCTGCTTGTCCTTCCTGAACAGTTTATATCCATCCATGACAGTACTCCAGTCATGTGAGTTATCCCACCAAGTCTCTGTTATTCCAATCACATCATAATTCCTTGACTATGCCAGGACTTCCAGTTCTCCCTGCTTATTTCCCAGGCTTCTTCCATTTGTGTATAGGCACTTGAGATAACTCGCTGATCGTCCCTCTTTCTCAGTATGAGGCAGGACCCCTGCCTTCTCGCGTGCTCCTGATCGTGCTTCCTCCCGGTATCCCACTTCCCCACTTACCTCAGGGCTTTGGTCTCCTTCCCCCGGTGAACCTAGTTTAAAGCCCTCCTCACTAGGTTAGCCAGCCTGCCTGTGAAGATGCTCTTCCCTCTCTTCGTTAGGTGGAGCCTGTCTCTGCCTAGCACTCCTCCTTCTTGGAACACCATCCCATGGTCAAAGAATCCAAAGCCTTCTCTCCGACACCACCTGCGTAGCCATTTGTTGACTTCCACGATTCGACGGTCTCTACCCAGGCCTTTTCCTTCCACGGGCAGGATGGACGAGAAGACCACTTGTGCCTCAAACTCTTTTATCCTTCTTCCCAGAGCCACGTAGTCTGCAGTGATCCGCTCAAGGTCATCCTTGGCAGTATCATTGGTGCCCATGTGGAGAAGCAGGAAGGGGTAGCGATCCGAGGGCTTGATGAGTCTCGCCGTCACATCGTGAATCCTAGCTCCTGGCAAGCAGCAGACTTCTCGGTTTTCCCGGTTGGGGCGGCAGATAGATGACTCAGTCCCCCTGAGGAGAGAGTCCCCGACCACAACCACCCGCCTCCTTCTCTTGGGAGCGGTGGTCGTGGAATCCCCAACCCTAGGACAGTGCATCTCATGCCTTCCAATCGGCAGAGTCTTTTTCTGCTCCCTTCCCTCAGATGTATCATGTAGTCCACTCTCTGCATTAGTACCTGTGGAGAGAACATGAAAACGGTTACTTACCCGTATCTGCGTTGCTGGTACATGGACGCTCCCCTTTCTTCTTCTGGATGTCACATGCTGCCAAATCTCTTCACCGTCCTGTCCCCGCTGCGCAGCCTGCTCTGAATCTTCAGAACATTGTGCCTGTAGAAGCATATCCTGACGTCTGTCCGGGAAATCTTCGGTTTCTCTTATGCAACGCAGGGTCGATACCTGTTGCTCCAGACCTTGAACCTTCTCTTCCAATATGGAGACCAGCTTGCACTTTGTACAGACAAAGTCGCTTCTGTCCTGTGGAAGAAAGACAAACATGGCACATCCAGTGCAGGTCACAACAGCTGAACACTCCCCATGCATATTACCTTCCTTCTACGAGCTCACTCAGGAGTTGTAGTAACTACTCAGAGAAGTCGGCCAGATGTAAGCCTCAGCAGGCTCTCCCCAGGTGAACTCCCAGGCAAACTCCCTCTGTTAGCCGCTCTGCTGTTCGCTGCTCAGCTGGTTCACAGCTGACTGGCTTTTATACAGTCAGGCCCATTCGAGGCTCACCTGGCTCCTGAGGTCCCTTCCAACCCTGATATTCTATGATTCTATGAAGTTTTACAAGTAACAAATGACATGTGAATAATTATGACCCTATCCTGCAATCTGTACTCATGTAGAGTAACACTTAGACAAGCAGTCCTCCTGAATCCAGTAGGGCTACTCGTATGGTAACTACTACTCAGGGTTGCAGAATCAGGCTTTAGTTACGTACATGTTGGGTATGCCCTTCCTTCTAACATTTGCAACATGCAATTATGATGGTGATCATAATGGTCCTTTCTGGCTTTAAAATCTGAGAGTCTAAGTTTTGAGAGGCTTGCTGGCTTGAATTTGTCTGCAGGGCAGCAACTGTCATTTGAATGTCTCGTAAACCAATCTGGGATTTTATGGTTTTTATTCCCGGCAGCATACATTTTGCAAGAATTAAAGGAGTTCCTCTAACAACCAGATGTGCCCATTTATTGAGCATCCCTAAATGAACCTAAAAATGTGTGTAATAAAATAAGTATTTTAGTTGGTGCCTTTATGCTCCAGTGCTGGGCACGTGGGCTTTCAAAACGGTGATAAAATTGGTTCTCTTTAGCGTATACTGTATCTTATCACTATGTCCCTCATTCGTAAGTAAGATGTTTATTACAATGACTAGAGCTGATAAAAAAAAAAGGGAACAAAATTATGAATGTGTCCCTCTGTTAATAACAAAACCAATTAGTTCCATACGGGAGGGGGAAAGGAAAAATGGTTGTGAACATTGTCCAAAATATTCCTGTTTACTTTTAAAATTTTATAATTGACATTTCTAATTTCCAACCAAATGTTGACTAGTTAAAGACAACCCATATCACAACACATGGGATGAAATCCTTCATCCCATTAAAGCCAGTGGGAGTTTTGTCATTAACTTCAGCTGGGCCAGGGTTTCACCCAGCAGGTAGTCAGTGCTCTTTGCTCTCTGGAATCCCTCTCTGTGAAGCTTTGCATCTGAAATACTGGTAGCCGCCCCAGACTGGCGCTTTCGTCAGATTTCTGCATAACAGCCTGTTTGCTCCGATTTGGTTGTTATTTTCCTTTGTTTATTTGCAGGTGTTGGGAGGACATAGGCGAGTCCCGATACTGGTTGATCATCAGAGCTCCTATTGCGGTTTCTATTTTGGTAAAGTATCAGCAATCTCCACTGGCTGCAAAAGCCCTTGTTAGTGAAAGCTCAGACCCTAGGTTATGCATGGATGAGTGTTCCATAAATGGCATATGCAGGCAGACAGATGTAAGTGGATAGACAGACTGACTAGAAAACAGTCTTTGCCAAGCATTTCTCTGATGTGGGTGAATTGTCTTCACAGCATGGGCCAACCTAACTAACTGATGTTAAAGTAACTTCCCTTGGAGGGCAGGTTATCCAGAACTGCCTACGGAAGGGCTTATTGTACCCTGAAGCAGCTGGTGCTGGCCATTCTCAGAGCCAGGATACTGGATTAGTTGTACTGCAGGTCTGATCCAGTCTGGCATTTCCTGTGTTCTACTGTAACTAATGCGAGAAGAGCAGATGTTTCCTTATTAGAATCCCATTTGCAAAACCTTTCCACCTTTTAAGAAATAAGTCATGGATTAGAATGCTCAGGACCTGTTCCTGTGAGGTGCTGATGACCTTCCCAAAGGAGGTTTGACTTTGGGTAAGTTAGACTTCAGTAAGAGCTGAGGACTCTTGGCAAGGCTCAGAGGCACACTACACCTCGTAGGATCAGGTCCTCAGTCCTCAAGTTTCCTTAACACTTCATCCTGAAGCATCTGGGAGGAAAGGGTGAGTGCTCAGATACTACAGTGGTGAGCGGTGGTATAAAGAAACCTCTGATAAATGGAGGAGCATGTAGGAAAGGAGGTTGAGTTGCCCAACCTGGAAAGTTGGTGGAAGCGATCTCCAAGAAAGAGGCACCAATGAGCGTTACAAGCACTTTACCTCTACTCTGGAAAAGGAGGACACAGATGTTGAAAAACATATTGATTCACAGTAGCAAATAGATAAATCTAAGGGGTGGTGAACTCTACCCAAGTTAGGTTGACCTAGCTACGTCACTCAGGGATGTGAAAAATTCTCAGAAATAGTTAAGCTGACCTAAGCCCCGATGTAGACACCACTAAGTCGATGGAAGAATTCTTCCATCAACCTAGCTACCAATTCTCTGAGAGGTGGATTTACTATCGCAATAGAAGAACTTCTTCTGTCGCTGTAGTAAGTGTCTATGCTGCAGCTGTGTCACTGTAGCGTTTCTAGTGTACACATACCCTAAACTCCGTTTCAAAAACAATGCTCCAACTTTCTCTTCCAGCATTAGGGTTTTCTCTGCCGGACCCCTCTGTCTCAGACCCTAGTTTCCTTTGCCCCAGAGAGGATCCATCTCCTCTTGTACTCTGGTTAAATCAGAGCCACCTGCTAATAGGATTCATTATTAATTAAACTGCACCTTCATGCATGGTTCCAGACCCAACCCACCGGAGGATCCCTGCTTCTCAGTGCAGTGTCCTAGAGTCTGCCCCCTGTTACATGGGGTTAAACAGCTCTATTATTGATACCCATGCATGAGTCATCTTCAGTTGTACACAAGTAACTCCCCCATCAGCAAGTGGTACTCCCACACATCTGGCAGCACAACTGGACCAAGGAATGTTATAAGCAGATTCTCTGACCCAGCGTACCTACCCATTTTTTGGCCCCATATCACCTCCTTGGTTTTCATCAGACCCCTCATTTTCATCTCTTCCCTGCATTTGCCTCCAACCAATTCTCAATTTTCTCTTGAACACATAAATAGTCCTCTCTGGTTGCCGTGTTGTTTCAAATGCAAAATTCAGCCCAGGCTCATCCTGAGGTATTTAAACCTTCCCTGATGGAAATGTCCTAAAGGATTTAATACAAAATTATCACTTTTCCATAGGTGTTTTGCATCATCCTATAGAATCTAATAGATAATTACATCCTTGCTATAGGTTTTTAGAGTAATTTCTCAAGATTCTTGATCTAGTTCCCACTGAAGTCAATGGGAGTGTCTGATATCAAGCTTTCTGTGGGAGATAGAAGAGACCATAGAGCCCCATGATGTTTCTAAAGACACCGGTTGGTTCCATCCCTATTGATTCTATACAACTTCCCCATTTGGATGTTCAGCAAACCTGGGTCCATTTGTGAGCAAGGACCGGAAATCAGATGAACTTCAGTTGAATTCAGCTTTGAGTTTGTTCCCCAAACTCAGGGCAAACATGCGGGAGGGGAAGGACAGAGAAAGCAACATCAACAAAACAAGATTTGTAGAGCCCACCCCAACCTGAGATCTCTATCTTGCACATAAGTTTTCCTTATTGCCAATGTATATTACCCTTTGCGTGAAGCAATCTGCCCGCATCACCTGTCACAGAGCTAATCTCAAGAACAAACATTTTTAATAACCACTTTGTATTTTATTAACCTTACTAAACTGAAATGAAATCCTTATCTGACATATGTCAAAATGTTTGTCTTTCAGAAAGACCAGTAGATCAGATTTTCTCTTTCCCGATGTAACCTTTTTTAGAAAGAAATGCACCTCATTCTCCTGGGATGGAAGGCCTAATATCTTTTGCTGTTGTTCAATAAAATAAGTCTAAACTTTTTTCTCAGCACAGAACAGACGCTGTCCAGTAATTATGATTTTCTTCTGCATGCCTCAAAGAAATCCATCGCTAAAGCCTGTCCCCTTTGCCCATCTGCCCGAGCACAGTCCACTCACATTTAACCTTCCCTGTTTGCACTCTCAGCCACCTGGGCTTGACACAGTCAATGCTGCACACTACACAGATGCTTGGGAAGCAACTCAGATCTTATGTTCACTTACTACAACTCGCATGTTACCGATGCTGATTAGAATCTGCCCCCTATGTCTAGTTGCCTGTGTCGGGGCAAGTCTCTTTTTTTTTTTCTAGGCTAATAAACACAATCAGAAACTATGGCGAGCAAAGTGGGAGAGCTAAGATGAGGGTAATTAAGCACTGGCACAGCTTGACCAAGGTCTGTGGTAAATTCTCCATCCCTTAGAGTCTTTCAGTTAAGAGTGGATAACTGTCTAAAGGAGGTGTTCTGGCTCATCCACAAGTTCTTGGGCTAGATGTAGGAATCGCTCGATGAAGCTCTCTAGCCTGAGCTGTGCAGAAGGTCAGCCGAGATGATCATAATGATTCCTTCTGGCCTTTACATCTATGACAATATAAAATAAGAATCGCTTGAGAGGTCATTAATGGTAAAGGATAAGGAAGGAGATTTTGTGCCCAGACTGGTCTAAATTCACACCAGGGTTTCAAGTCTTCTCTGGTGTAGATCATCTCCTGCTTATCAGTTGTGCCAAGCAGCAGCATTCGTCAGAGGTTAGAGCATTGCTGTGGGAGTTGGGGAGACCTGAGTTCTAGTCCTGCCAGCTGCTGTGTGACTTCGGGCAGTCCCCTTTGTCGCCTCCCCGTGCCTCAATTCCATCTGTAAAAAGAGGATGATCGTACCTGGAGCACTTTGAGATCCTCAGACGAAAAGCAGAGCTAAGGATAATAAAAATAGCTCCAGGGCACCAATGGTTTTATGCTTTGGCCTAGTCTGGAAGCAGAGGCAATGTGCCAGTGTTTACCTGTGATGTTAATTCCCTGCTGCCCTAGCTCGCCGGCGTGTGTGTGAAGAAGGCATGCCTGGTGAGGCAGGATAGGAGCCTGTTTTGCAGTTCTCTCTGACACCGTTCCATGTATCTATTTTTTGGCGCACGGCCCCCATCCCAGTCTGTGACGTGCCCGGCAGCGAGCCCCGTATCGCCATCTACTGTGGGCCGTGACCTCCGCTGCTCAACTAACCGAAAAGCTCTAATCCTGCCCCGTCGCCAGCCCACCCCCCCCCCCCGTGCAGCAGGACGTCGTGCAGAGCTGTGCTCTATGGGTTTGACATCATCATACTTGAGATGTATGACACAAAGTCCCAAGCAGGCTGATGTCAGGCCCAAGATGGCTGCCATTCTGTCTCAGTTTACCATGTGCTCAGAGTGGGGTTTTCTGCCTGTGGCTTTTTAACAACGGCTCATTCCATGAACAGATCATTGAGGCAAAAGGAATACCCTCTAACAACTAGCTCTTTTCACTGCAGAAAGGGATCATGGGAGTTTAACCCCCTTTTTTCTCTCTCTCTCTCTCGCTCTCCTTTCTCTGTTTCCCATTAGGTAAACTTCATCCTCTTCATTTGTATTATCCGGATCCTATTCCAGAAGCTGCATTCCCCTGATGTTGGGCGCAATGAAACCAGCCAGTACTTGTAAGTCCTAGACTGTTTTCACCTGAACCATGCAGTGTTGATGAGACCTGTCAGGCAAGGCTGTTTGCTTACCCAGAACCATCCTCCCTGTCTACATTTGATTGATCCCACTCCAAAATGTTTTGAGTCGATCAAAGGTATCTGAGATTAGGGGGTTGGGAGATATGCTAAAATAATCAAGCATGTGGCTGTCAAACTGTTTATAGATGGGTCAGGAGTCTTGCTCCTAGGAATAGCAATGAACAGGTGAGCTCCACGACGATGCTTCATTATAAGACAAACAGGTGCTTGATTTGTACATTCATCATTTACTGGGTTCAGTTGACATAGGTGGCTAAAAGTTTCCTGAGGCTCAGAAAGAACGGGCCAAAGCCTCCCCTGGTGCAAACCTTCACAGCTCCATTGAAGTCTCTTTGCATTCAGTGGAGCTGCACCATTTTACATCAGCAGAGAACTTGGTCCAGCAATTTCACGTCCAGGGTAACTAGATCTAGCCACGTTCTTGGAATCCTCATCCATCATGAAGTCTTTGGGGTTCGGCCAGACCCCAAGCTCACTATGTGCTGCCCAGCAGGGGCCTGCTTCGCCAGTACCTGCTTAATCAGGCTCTTGGTAAGACTTTTGGGGGAACTCATCAGGTCCTCGGTACTGTCTCCAGAACCATAGTCTTACCTGGTAGTGCTGTGTCCCAAGGCACCGCAGCCATGACATCAGGGCCGGCTCTAGGCACCAACGTTCCAAGCAGATACAATTCGGTGGCAATTCGGCAGCAGCTTCTCTCTCCTGCCGTCTGCTGTGGCAATTCGGCGGCGACAGGTTTTTCCGGTGCTTGGGGCGGCAAAAACGGTAGAGCCGGCCCTGCATGAAGTGACACTGAAAAGAACAGAGTGAGGACTAGAGAGGTGACCGCAGATCACAGTGGGCACAGCTGTCTGGAATCCTGTACAGTTGGGGGTATGTTACGTTCATGATTTAATGAAAAATCAGATGGATTTACTGTCAGTCATTTGTCCAGATGGCAGAAAGCAAGCCTGGGGGAAGGGAGTGGTGTGGGATAACGGATAGGAAAGTTCATCCTGTTCCATGTCCCCCATAGGCAGATGCAGAATGGCTTCTGTCCCCCCGCAGGCTCCAGACTCTGTTGTGTTAGGGCACTTTCTGGCTCCACCCCAAAGGGCGGAGCTACAGGAGAAGCCCTGGATTCCACATTTAAAGGGCTGTGTGCTGAACCCTATGATCATAATAATAACACTTCCTGTTGCACAAATATGGAAGGGCAGTGGCATTCAGAGGCGCTATCGCTGTGTGTTCAAATGACCTACATAATATAGCACTCCTGTACTAACAGCATGTGACTGACTTCAGCAGAGCCACTTCTGATTTACACCAGTGTATGTGAGATCAAAGTCAGTCTCAGTGGGCAAGATTCTGGTCTCAATTAGATCAGTGTAAATCTGGAGTAAGTCTACACAGCTCCACGGATTCAGTCCAGCTTAATGGTATATAACTAGGGCCCTACCAAATTCACAGTCCATTTTGGTCAATTTCATGGTCATAGGATTTTAAAAATTGTAAATTTCACGATTTCAGCTATTTAAACCTGAAATTGTATGGTGTGGTAATTGTGGGGGGTCCTGTCCCTAAAAGGAGTTGTACGGGGGTCACAAGGTTATTGTGAGGGGGGTGCGGCACTGCGATGCTGCTGGCAGCAGCGCTGCCTTCAGAGCTGGGAAGCTGGAGAGCAGCAGCTGCTGGCCGGGAGCCCAGCTCTGAAGGCAGAGCCACCGCCAGCAGCGGCGCAGAAGAAAGGATGGCCTCAGTCAGCAGCCGCCGCTCTCCGGCCGCCCAGCTCTGAAGGCACCAGGCAGAAGTGTAGGGCGGCACGGTCTGGTGTTGCCACCCTTACTTCTGCGCTGCTGCTGGCGGGATGCTGCCTTCAGAGCTGGGTGCCCGGCCAACAGTCACTGCCCTCCAGCCACCCAGCTCTCAAGGCAGTGTGGAAGTAAGGGTGGCAATACTGCGACCCGCCCCCCCCCAAAATAACCTTGTGATTCCTCCCTCCCCCCCACACACACAACTCCCTTTTGGGTCAGGACCCCCAATTTCAGAAACACTGGTCTCCCCCTGTGAAATCTGGTCTTTTGCGTGCTTTTACCCTATACTGTACAGATTTCACGGGGGGAGAGCAGATTTCACGGCCCATGACGTGCTTTTCATGGCCGTCGATTTGGTAGGGCCCTATATAGAACCAAGATCAGACACCAACCCATCTTTGCATCTTGCTGCTATCCTGAATCAGCATTTGGAACAATCTAGATCTTTATGGAGGGATTCCTAGAAAGATTTGTATTGGAAAGGATTTCCAGTGGGTCATTTAGTTCATCCTCCTATATGATGGAAGGGACCAATTTCAGCATCCTTACTCTGCCCTTAAATTTGGGTGTCTCCCAGAGCCTTGAAAATCTCTTGTGATGATGATTCCACTTTCTCCACTTGAACTGTTCTTAGACATAGAAAGGAAATGGTATTTGATCTTACCATTTCCCTGCTGCAGCTCACTAAAGCCTGTTCATTCTTGTTTTGTTCTCACCGACCAGTATGCGTTATTGGTCCCTGCCTTTTCTATCACATCCCTTTATGTATCTGTAGTCAGATGTCGTGTCTCCCCCTCCGATTACGACATCCCTGTTGATGTGCTGAGATTAAATCAGCATATTGAACTATGTTCTAGAACGAACAGTGTTGTCCTGGGGTCAGATCCTTGCCTTCATTGGGTAACCGGCTCCCATTAATCTCAATGAAAGTTCTGTGTGCGTACACAGGCAGCCAAGGGAAGGATTAGGTCCCAGTGATCTAGGAGGTGGACTTGGTCTTTTTAAAAACGTTCCCAGTGAATTAATGCTGGAAAAAGCTACCTTGCTGTACCCACAGACCAAGATATGGCACAAGAGGCAGTAATCCAAGCTTCCCCACATTGCACTGCCAGTGTGCCCCTAGAAGGACTGCCTCATGGGCAAGCATAGCCTTCCCCGTATCTACCACCCCTCTCCCTACACTTCCCCCTGCAAAAACTCCACTAGCCCAAGCAGACTCAAACAGGGAGAAGAGCCCAGGAGTCCCTGGTGACCCAGAGGCATCTTGCTGTTGCCAGTCTCGGTTACGTGGAAAGGGATCACGCACTACGGTGATGAGTGGCCATGCAGAGCCTTGAGCTGGATGGATAGACAGGCCCCTGGTCAAGCAAGGGGAGTTTAGGCTCAGTGCTCGTTCAGTCCTTGCTTTTTCTGCTGCCAACCAGGGGGGCAGTTGTACTATGTTCTTTTGTTTGATGTTGACTCACATGGTGGGGAATAGACTGAGCCCCTCAGGGCTGGAATTTCCAAAGGAGCCCAAGGGAGTTAAGTGCCAAAATCCCATCAAACTGAACACCTCATATCCTGAGATTCCTTTGAAAATCCCAGCCCAGACTCACTGCACTTAGGCCACTGTAGCAGTTTGCGGCAGGGCCCTCTTGGCTCCCGCCTCTGCTAGACTGAGAAAGTCACTCGGAGACCCTGGGGTTCAATAACTATTGGTGCTTTTTATTGACCGGGTTGAGCTCCCACCATCTTCTCACCATACAGCTTACATAGGGCCGGGTTCCTTGTGTCCGAACCCAGGAGCTGAAGGGCTTTCTCCCTGCCTGCCTGCACTCCCTCGCTCTCCTCCGTCCCGCCTCCCTGGCTTCCTTCTTCCCAGCCTCTTATATAGCCCTGGGCTCATTGGACTAGCAGCTGGCTCTCATTCCCCAATTAGGGCAGGTTCTTTCCAGCCAGCTCCACTTTATTCACCTAAATGGGGCTGGCGGTCCAGGGGCCTCATTCTGCAGTCGTTCTGCTCAGCACCCAGTCACAGCCACCAAACATCCATCATATGGTAACAACTCTCAGGGCTTGTCTACACTACCCACCAGATCGGCGGGCAGCGATCGATCCAGTGGGGGTCGATTTATCGTGTCTAGTCTAGACGTGAGAAATCGACCGCTGAGCACTCTCCCGTCGACTCCGGTACTCCACCAGAACGAGAAACGCAAGCGGGGTCGACGGGAGAGCGTCAGCTGTCGACTTACTGCAGTGTCGACTTACCATGGTGAAGACACCACAGTAAGTAGGTCTAAGTACGTCGACTTCAGCTGCGTATTTACGTATATTTACGTATCTTAGATGAACCCCACACGGTAGTGTAGACAAGCTCTCAGTCACTGCTGATGTGGGGTAGATTAGAACCAGCAATATAACAGTATAAACCTTGCGTTGTTCAGCCTGTTCCTAAACCATCAAACCCTCCACTGCCCCCGGGCAGAATTCCACCCTGGGCTACCAGGTGCACAGGGGAAACTCTCCCTCTGCCACACCCCTGAAAGTATGCAGGAAACTCGGGGTACCTGCCCTGCTCTCTGCAGGCAATAGCAGGGAGCAGTCCCTACACTCAGGCGTGCAAAGACTATGGTCATGCTTGGCTGCTGCATGTGACCTTCGGCTCACTCCCACTTCAGACATCCACAAAGCAGCTGGGCACAGAAGGCCCATCTATGCTGCAAAGTGAAACTGCAAGGGTTATCCAAGAATAATCTGGTCTTGCATTCTTCTTGGGTCTCAACACTTCTGTGCTATTCTGTGCAGGTACTTATGCTGGGCCCATCACTTTTTGGTATCTGGGAACCTACTGAAAGTACAAAAGTTCATGTCTTGCATTTGTTGAGCTTGCAAGAATGATTTTGCTTCATACCTGAAACGTCCTTGCACTGAATTACTCAGTCTTTTAAATTCCATGCTCGATCCATGTCCTTTTGGCCAGTCTGCATTGGTGTAAGTGGATGTCACTCCCAGCCAAGTCACTGGATTTGTGCCTGCTTACACCATGCTGAATTTGGCCCTTGGGACCAAATGTGACCCTCAGTTACATTGGTGCAACCTGATTGACATCAAGGGAGTTGCATGAGTGCAACTGATGGCAGGATTTGGCCCTCAGCATCCAGAAAGCTCCTGCCAACTGCAGAGGTATGGTCTGGATGACCCAAGAGAGCTGTTCATCATACCTCTCAGTTATTCCTGACAAATCTGAGATAAGAATTTGTTTTAGTCTAACAGAATCTGAGATCTCACCCTCCCGCCCCCTCTTTCTCTGCCCCAACCCAACACTGTTTATTGAAGAAAGAATTTGTTGACACATTGACAGTATCTTTCAATGCTTGCCAGTTCCATCTGAGTCCAAGTCTCAAAACTCAGGTGCGCTGCTGACTCATTCATTAATGGTACAGCCATGGAGCTTTACTTTATTATAAAACGTGAAGGAACTCCTCATGAAAAAGCCTTTTGAAATTTCGGACAATCAAGCAGCATGGGGACAACAGTATTTCACGCAAGACAGAGGATAAAACCCCATGTTTTCTGAAACAAGAACTTTGCACTTAATTAATTCCATCAACATGCTATTCTACATAGGTTCTTAGACCACCACCATTCATGCACTAAGCAACGTAACTAACATCTGGCATGTGTGGGTCATTCTTTTTCTCCTCCTTCTCCCAAGGGTGAGGGAATTGTGTCTGCAGTGTTGTGTGTTGGTAGGGTTGGGGGGCGGGGTTAATGTATACACTGCTATGTGTGTGCTAGACAAGGCAGGTGGAAGAAGAGCTCCTTGCATTTGGAGTGGAAGGCGGTGAGCTTTGTGATGGCCGTTAGTTCCTTGGGGAGTTCATTCCACATGCTGGGACCAGCCCCTGAGAAAACTCTGTCTCCCACACCCATGTTTTACCCTTATGGTAGGAAGTGCCATTGTGCCAGAAGACTCAGCCACTGTCTTTATCATGGGGCGTTAGTCAAGCTTTTAGATACCCTGGATCCAGGCCATTCATTGCCTTGAAGAGAAGGATTGAGACCTAGAGCGTGACTCATTATTCTATGGGAAGCCAGCGTAGGGAGCAGAGGACAGGTTTGGTGGCTGCCGTTGGCACATCTTACTGAGCAGATGTGCAGCTGTGAATTACTAGTAGAAGACACACAAACCAGCTCAAATGGTTTGGTAAAGGGGGAAAAAGACAGATGGATCAGCAGCAGCAAGGTACAAAACATTCTCACAAGAAGAAGGGACATGATATCAGGGATAGCTGTACTGTTGGAGTTTCTCAGAGCGGATGGCCTCATGGCCAAGTATAGTCCATTGCTATGGTCCAGCCAGAAAGTGACCAATGTGTGTGTAACCAAGGCCACGTCATTGTGGAGATGGTAGAAAGTGTTATTCATGGCGATTGATGTCCGTGGAGTTACACCCGTTTGAGCTTTATGGCACAGGGAGGTGGGAGGCAAAGGCGGGACTGCTCTGTCTTATGCCAGCTGCCGGCGGTCCTCCAGCAACCAGTGCAGACAGCAGAGCATCAGGGTGATGTGTTCACAGCACCTGCCTTGTTCAGCCGATGAGTTCCTGCCTTTTGTAGCTGCAGCTTTTTCAGATATAACAAGTTGCAGTGGCCAGATCTGGAAATCATGATTGCATGGACCACGGTGACAGGGCCAGCGTGCCACAGACAGGGGGCATGGTCTTCTGGTCAGTGGCACATGAAAGGGGGTATTTGCATTTGGCCACTCTATGGCAGCAAAGAAACCAGAATGACCCAGGTTGTGGCTTGACTTACTCTGAGGACAGCCGCCCTCGTGGTGGGGGAAGTGATAGCAGGAGGAAGCTTTCCGAATGCCTCCCTCTTCCTACAGGCATCAGTCTAGATTGGGATCAGCTCTAGCCAGCTGCTTTACACCCGGGTGCTGACTTCAGCTCGGCATTAGGGGCCAGACAGAAGCCCGTAGAAGCTGGCTGGAATCTGGCCATGGAATAGGCTTTGGATCACGTCCTGTGAAAGCTGGGAAATTCTGCTGGGAGGCGGCGTTTGATCCAATGGAGATGCAGCTATGGGTGTCATCTGTGTACTACTGGCATGTCATCCCTCTCCACCCTACCAGAAGCTTCTACAGATGGTGACTAGAGGGAGGTGGGGAGGAAGACCGTGCCTCATAGGTCTGTGCAGGTGAGGGCCTTGGCAAGGAAGGAACAGTTGCCCATAACACCCTAATGGCCTTGGTCGGAGGGGACAGACCTGAGCCATTTCAGGGCATTTCCATTCCCCACGCTAGCCTCGGTGAGGTGGGACTGGAGTCCTCAGAGATCGATGGTGTCAAATGCCCCTTAAGCTCACTGAAGTTTTACATTTCATTTTATTTCAGTCAGTTGAATTTGATTTCCGTCTGTAATTAGATGTCAGAAATGATCTGCCATTCCTAATGAGAGCTCTGATTATCCTCTTGCGGGCCATTAGGCTCCAACGCTGCTTGTCCTCCTGCTTTGGAACACACGGGCCGCTCCTGCCGCTCTATATGGTATCATCATTTGCAGCTCTACATACGATATCTCCTCCAGCACCCCGACTTTTCTGCAGTCCCAGGCAACAAAGGCAGTCGTGGGCTCCGTTTGGCTTGTGGAGACGAAAAACAGTCTCTGGCAGGAGTGGAGGAAATATCTCCACTAGAGTGGATGGGCATAAAAATGTCACGCGTTAGAGCATCTCTGTCCCTGAAGCAACCAGCCATCTGTGAGCCCCAGGGAAAGGGGAACGACAGCTGGCTTATTGCCGAGACTCATCTGCCAGGACATGCACCACAACGGTTTCTGTTAATAAGGGGGGGAATTACGTCTCTGAAATACAGTGTAGCAATCACCACGGGCCAGATCTTCAGTTAAGGTGAAGCGGTGTAGCTGGATGGATGTCAGTGGAGGCTTGCTGATTTACACCGGCGGAGGATGTGGCTCCAAATCTCTGAAGCACTAACGCCCAGATCCTCAAAGGTATTTAGGCTCCTAACGTCCACTGGTTTTTTTCAGTGAACGTCAGGAGCCTACATACCCGTGAGGATCTGGGTTTAATTCCCCTTCTTTTATTACTACCCGCTGCTTATGCTTTCAGAGCTTTAAAATTCCACCTCTGGCACAGAGTGGATTCCCTGGCATCGCACTGACCCGCCCTCCCTGCACTGTAGGTGGGTCATTGGGGCTGTAGGCGCATCAGCAGCCGAATTTCACGCCCTCTTATGCCTTTGGTGGTTGCCCCCTTTCCCTTTACAGCTCATGTTTTTCTTTCTGACAGGAGACTGGCTAAGTCCACCCTGCTGCTGATCCCGCTCTTTGGCGTCCACTACATCGTGTTCGCCTTCTTCCCCGACAACTTCAAAATGGAGATAAAGCTCGTCTTCGAGCTCGTGCTCGGCTCCTTCCAGGTGGGTCACCCCTTAGGCCTGGGCCACGGCCACCAAAACGCAGGGCGAGTCTTTCAGAACTGCAGTGCTTCGTAGGAACGATGGTGGGAATAAGGAAATGCGTGAAGGTGGTTTCCCTAGCACATGCCCAATCCTGCTCCCACGGGAGTCTTTAGGGGGTTGCCATTGACTTCGGTGAAGGCATGGGTGGGTTACTGTTGTGCATTCTCATTCTGCCTTTCGCCTCCTGGCATCCCAATATGTCTTACCAACAATCAGCTAAATCCTACGGTCTGTACGCAGATGCCACACAGACAGCATTCTGTTAACTGCAGTGGGAGGCAGAATTTCTGCTGACCCCAGTGGGGCTTGTTGCATGAGTTCATCCAGAATGAGACCTGGGGGTGGCAGCGTGACCTAGTGGATAAGACTGAACTGGGACTCAGGAGACCCATGCTCTAGTCACTGTTCTTCTGCAGGATGACTTTGGGCATGTCACGTCCCTCCCTATGCCTCAGTCTCCCCAGCTGTAAAATGGGGATAATGATACAGCCTTCCTTTGAGGTATGATGCTGCTTTGAGATAGGGATGAAAAATGCTAGGGGTTATTTCAACCGTTAGATACATACTTCACTTCATACACACTTCGTACTTCATACACACTTCACTTCAATCAATGGTCCACTCTTAACGCAGTCCCCGGTTCTGCACAGTGATTAGCACTCAGTGATGCACTTCCTCCTGGTGTACAATCAGTTTCAGCCAGTCTGCTTACTTGAGAATTGAGTATGTGTTTTATCACATACTGTCCCACTTACGTGCTTTGGTCGGCAGTGAAATAGCTAGCAATGCTGACATTTAAATCGTCATTTGGCAGCTGAATTAGCACCATACAGAGATGGATGGGGCAGTTCAGAGCTATCATTTCAGGCTGCCTGCAGACTCAGGCAGACATCACTGAACTGGTTTGCCACCCGTTCACATCTTCAGTGTTATCTCCCCAACTGTAAGGGCCAGAGACTGACTTTTTTTTTTTTTTTAAAGAAAGCCGAGATTCTGAAGAATAAGGTGGCATCGTAAAAAAAAAAAAAAAGTCACACGGTCACAGCCCAATTCAAATCCTGCACTTTAGTAAGGGAGCTAAAATCAAGCAGCCTTTATCTGTACCAGGAGGACTGTTAGAAGTTTCCTGGCTATGGTCCCTGTGTCCAAGGCTGTGGTTGCAGCTGGGTTTTCTGACTAAGTTAAATGTAGCCTTTCTGATGGTGAGGTTCTAAATGCCTGTTCTCTCTTCCTCCTCCCAGGGCTTTGTGGGGGCCGTTCTATACTGTTTCCTCAATGGGGAGGTAAGATCCACAGTTTTGTTTGGGCAGTGCTTGTCACTAGGATGAAGTGAATGACGGAGAAGGGAAGACTGAGCAATGTTCCATTCCTGACATCAGCCCATTGGGGCTGCCGTGGTCCTCAGATACTGGCTTTGCATGTGAATTTTAGTACTCACCGTGCTGAGGGCTGTGCTGTACAGTGTTGTATTCACAGAACAGGCAGCAAGCAGAGGGTCGTCCCCCCCGCCCGTTCGTCCCCCGCACCGCCACCCTGCCAGCGTGCCTCAGTCCTGACCTGGAGTGGCCCCGTTTGGTGGTGAAGGTTCAGCCAATCTCCAGCCCACTCACTCTTTGGCCTCTTTGCTGAGCCTGGCCCTGATCCTGTTGAAACCAAGCAGGCTTTTGCCCATGACTTCAGAGCAGCAGGATCAGACCCACGGCAGCGTGCAGGCCGGTGAATGCAGTGAGTTTTGTACTGTGGAGCCACGTGTCCATTGGAAACGGGTCTGAAATCCACCAGATTCACTTCACAAAAGCCACTGAGTAGATGTGAGCTGGGAAGAACGTTTAGCCCCATTCTAACTAGGGCAGCATTCAAGCCAATAAAGCGAGCAGTGAAGAGATGGGGGCAGCTGTGTAATTCAGTTCTGGGTTTGTATCCCGGCCTCTCCATAAGCTCAGGGATGTTCAGAATCAGGTTTTACTCCTGCTCCATCTCCAAGGGGATCCTCCCCGTATAGTTTGTGCTATGATTTCTGACCTGGGTGTGCTGAAAGCACCCTATAATTCATACCATAGCCTACAACAGAGGTGGGCAAACTACAGCCTGCAGGCCAAATCTGAGCCGCGGGACTGTCCTGCCTGGCCCTTGAGCTCTCGGCCGGGGAGGCTCACCCCAGCCCCTCCCCTGCTGTCCCCCCTCCCCCGCAGCTTCAGCTCGCCATGCTGCCAGCGCTCTGGGCAGCGGGGCGGCGAGCTCCTGCCAGGGGCCGTGGCTGCCAGTCCCGCTGCTCTGAGCGGCATGGTAAGGGGCCGGGGAGCGGGGGGGTTGGATAAGGGGCAAAGGTTCCCTGGGGGGCAGTCAGGAGACAGGGGGCAGTTGGATGGGGCAGAGGTTCTGGCGAGGGGCAGTCAGGGGACAGGGAATGGGGGGGGTTGGATAGGCGTGGGAGTCCCGGGGGGGCTGTCAGGATGCGGGGGTGTGGATAGGGGGCGGGGTGGTCAGGGGACAGGGAGCAGGTGGGGTTGGATAGGGGGTGTGGTCCTGGGGGGCAGTTAGGGGCAGGGGTGTGGACGGGGGCAGGGCAGTCAGGGGACAGGGAACAGGGGGGTTGGATAGGCATGGGAGTCCCTAAGAGCCTGTCAGGGGGCGGGGGTGTGGATAGGGGCAGGGCAGTCGGGATAGGGAACAGGGGGGTTGGATGGGGGTGGGGTCCCAGGGGGGCAGTTAGGGGTGGGGTCCCGGAAGGGAGTGGTCAGGGGACAAGGAGCAGGGGGGGTTGGATGGGTCAGGGGTTCTGTGGGGGGCGGGAAGTGGAAGGGGACAGATAGGGGGCGGGGCCAGGCTGTTTGGAGAGACACCGCCTTCCCTGCCCGGCCCTCCATACAGTTTTGCAACCCCGATGTGGCCCTCAGGCCAAAAAGTTTGCCTGCCCCGGGCCTGTGACCTCTCCCCGGAGGGCTAAGTGGCTGTGCAGTAGTGCTTTGTATGTGTTAGCCCATGTTTGCTGACGGTTTGAATCCCGCTGCAGGGCTCAGGAAGACCAACGCCCTCTGTACACGAATCAGTGTCACCGCTCCGCAAAACACGCTGCCCTGCAAAACAAAACAAAAAACCAAGGAAACATTTCTTTGGTGAAAGGAGCTTGTGAATGAAAGAGGTTCCCTAATTACCCTCGCAAAGGAGAAAAAATGTGTCCACAGTCGAGGTCATTATAGCTCCTTCATTGTATCAGCCAAGTGGCTCAAAGACAGCTACATCCCTCACTGGTGCATCCCTTCACTGCCTGCCCCCGAGCTATGAAGTTCTTACCTGCAGATATCAGTTCAGTGGCCTTTGTGAATTGGTCCCTGCTGGCCTTACCATAGAGAGTGATTCTCCTTGTCCAACTCAACACCCATTTCCTTCTCCAAGGGACTGTCCTTGACTTCCCAGGGAAGGGGGGGTTGCTTGTTCCCACTTCCACCACGGCCCTGGAACCAGAGCCAGTTAGCAGCTTCCCGTCGGAACTTAATTAAGCCGGCTCCCTCATTGCCGCTCCCAAAACCAAACCAGAGCGGCAGAAAGGAGCCCCGTCCGCTAACGCGCTTCTCCGTCCCCGCTTAGGTCCAAGCCGAGCTGAAGCGGAAGTGGCGCAGGTGGCACCTGGAGAGGTTCCTGGGCTCCGACATGAAATATCACCACCCGTCCGTCGGGAGCAACGGCACCAACTTCAGCACTCAGATCTCCATGCTCACCAAGTGCTCGCCTAAGACTCGCAGGTGCTCCAGCTTCCAGGCAGACTTCTCTCTGGTCTGAGGGGGAGAAACGCCCCAGAACAGAACACTTGAGAGAGAGAGAGAGAGAGAGAGAAACCACCCTGGAATTTGTTTAAAGCTGAAGAGTTGTTTTTAAACAGGACGCTCCCCATGAGTTAAACAAAGAGCATGAAACTGGAAAAGCCGCTGACGTCCTGAACGACAAGTGACAAGTCAGGACATAGAGATCTTTTTTTCTTCTTTCCAGACCTATAACTACAGGCTTGTCCCTGGGCGATGGAGAAACTCACAAACCGACTATTACACTTGTGCACGACTCCAGCTTGCCTGGGGAGGGCCCAGGAGATTCTGAAAGGTTCGCGAATAGGGGGTGGGGGATAATTAATGGCTTCACCTGAGCCGGCTTCTCGGAAACCGATCGAAACGATGCACTTTTTAAAATGAGCCAATGAGAAAAAATAATTGCTTTTAATGTGCCAAGAGTCTGATCGGGAAAGGATGGCAGTGAGACAAGGAAGGACCGACAAGCAGGGGACAAATTGTAGCAGGGCACAGCACTTGTGCGCGTCCAGATGCATTTCACTTTGCTAAAAATAAGCTGAAAGACCAGAAAGTCATCTCATTGGCTTCAGAACCAGAGTGGAATCTGCAGCTCTCCAACAATCTGTGTTCCACCGTCGATGATGCCTCCGAAATGTAGCTTGCTGAGGAGCTAAAATGTAAATGCCCTTTTCTGCACTATACTCATTGTTTTTTTTAAAAAAAACCAGGATATAATAGACTTGCATGGCTAATGTATAAAAACAAGGTACAGGTGCCAATTCAGTTGCATGGCTGTGTTTTCCACAAAAGAAACCCTCTCTGATTAAGCTTGCTCTAAGTCTTGGCATATTTTTGCAGCAGGAATCTTTGGGGATTTATGGGAAAGATATTGGTTTATAGTAAGTTTGTACCTGAATAATGCACACTGCGGGGAAGGGGAGAGTTAGAGCTCACGTAGTGCTTGATTGAATCAGACCCTCTGTCAGGAGCCACTACCCAGAGTGAAGAATTAACTTAATAGCAGTAGGCAGAATTGGCCTTGGCAAAACAAGCTTAGATCCACAAGTAAACTGGCACTGCAGGGGTTTGAAAAAGGAAAGGGGGAACAGTGGGGCTATGAAATTGATCCCTACTTCAATTATTCCAAACAGCTTTTAACCTCCGATGAAGGTATTGCAAAGAAAATCATTAGATCTTCAATAAGCGTGATACCATACCTTCTGTCTACTTTCTAACAACCTTGACATGTACATATCAGGGCGTGAGCCCCATTTGAAGTGTGTACATAGCTCCCATTAACACCAGTGGGAATTTTATTTTTCTTTACATTTTTGGGGTGAATTTAATGCTGCTCCAGAATACCAGATCGACAGCTGTGGAGACCTGAAGTCCTCTACTTAGACTCATAGAACCATAGGGTTAGAAGGAACCGCAAGGGTCAGCTAGTCTAACCCTCAGCCAAGATGCAGGATTTGTTGTGCCTAAACCAGGAATCGGCAACCTTTGCCACGCAGCCCGTCAGGGAAATCCACTGACGGGCCAGGACAGTTTGTTTACCTGTAACGTCCGCAGGTTCGGCCGATCGCAGCTCCCACTGGTTTGCCATTCCAGGCCAATGGGGGCCACAGGAAGCAGCAGCCAGCACATCCCTCGGCCCACACCACTTCCCGCAGCCCCCATTGGCCAAGAATGGCGAACCGCGGCCAATGGGAGCTGCGATCGGCCAAACCTGTGGATGCTTCAGGTAAACAAACTGTCCCAGCCCACCAGCGGATTTCCCTGATGGGCCACGTGCCAAAGGTTGCCGATCCCTGGACTAAACTATGCAAGATGGGATCTCTACCTCTTCTTGAAAACCTTGATATGGATAAGCAAATGAAGGAGCTCAAATGAAGGAACTCCCATGACTTCCCTAGGCGTCTGCTCCATTGTCCTCCTGTTCTTACAGTTAGGAAGTTTTTTTTCCTTGAGATTTAATCTAAATCTGTTCTGCTGTAGTTTGAACCTATTGCCTCTTGTCCTGCTCTCTGTGGGGAGAGAGAACCATTCTGCTCCATCTTAGCTCCCCTCTCAGAGCAACAGCAGCAAGGACAGTGCCGGCTTCCTCCCCCTTATTCTTCCCTATGACTGGTGTCGAGCAGCAACCGCAATCTCACCTTAAGTTGATCGAGCCAAAGGGCTACTTCAGGAGTAGCAGAATTTATTACAGTGAGGCCTCCTTCATATTTATAAATTGGGCAGTCGGTGCTGATCTGTTTGATGGCCTGTCATGGGGAACACATTCGCCCAGTGCGGAGTCCTTGATTTGCCATATGAGCATTAGACGTCCGCATCTCCCATGGTTGGTTCGGAGTTGACCAAGATTACTGTGGAAGGTTGAACCCCTGAACCTTCTGCATGGGATCTGGCACAAGAGGCTTCCTCTGCCGTGCTACTTGCCCCAACCATCCCCTTACAAAGAAACACTTGCAGTAACCCTAAAATGCTACGGCCATCACTGTTGTAAGGTGTATCATTCCAATCTCAGGGCTGGTCTACACTACCGGGCGGGAAGAGGGGGAAATCGATCTAAGTTACACAACTTCAGCTACGTGAATAGCGTAGCTGAAGTCAACGAACTTAGATCTACTTATCGCGGTGTCTTCACTGCGGTGAGTTGATGGGAGACACTCTCCTGTCGATTCCCCTTGTGCTTCTCGTTGAGGTGGAGTCCCAGAGTCGACACTAGAGCAATCGGCAGTCGATTTATCGCGTCTATACTAGACCCGATAAATCGATCGCTAACTGTCGATCCCGCCGGTAGTGCAGACAAGCCCTCACTTACCCCGTTTTTTCACTGGTGAAACACAATTGACGGGAATAGAGTTACTCCTGATTTTACATCAATGTCTGGGAGATGAGAATCAGATCCTATTGTATAGCTTACAATACCGATAATGTCCTTTGGGGGTTTAATTCAGCATGCTGCAGTATTTTTTTTTAAAGGGAGTGACTGATTGGGAAGGACCCTCCTGCCTGCTCGGAGTAATAAGAATGATTCATGCACATAGAGGGGAAGATAGAATTGTCCTTAAATGTTTTGCTTACCGGGAGGCTGAGAAAAAGAGAGCTCCAGCTGTATACGAAAAAATGGCTTCGGTTCACGCATGGGATGCTGCATCACCGGGCTTCGTTATTAAAGGGGAATCCCACCTTTAAGCTTTGTCTGGAAGCAGTTGCAATTCTGTGCCAGGCAATCGCCCCATTTCCAGTAGACCTGAAAATCCTAGTCACTGGGCCAGATTCTGCCTCCAGTTTGGTGGGTGGCACCATAGTGGAGCAAATTAATGCCAGAGTTGTGCCCACTTATGCCTGTGCTGGGTCCATGGATTTCTCCAAGGGAGAAACTGTGGCACAACTTAGTCATTTACGTGGAATTTCCCCGGCATCTGTGTCCCCCTAGTGTTCAGATCTGAGAGGGAGAAAAATACCAACAAGGATAGGCTCAGCTTTTTATGCTTGTTCATTCACAGAGAACAGAAAAGGGAGGCGGGCGGGGATGGGGGGACAGGGACTGGAATTTAAACAAAACCCATGTTTGTGTAAAGTACTGTGGCTGGGGTCCAGGCTATAGACCTCATGGGCCAGATCCTCAGCTGCTGCAAATTGGCATCGCTCTTGAAATCAATGGAGTACGTGGATCAATGACTACACCAGTTTATACTAGCTAGGAGTAGCTTACCCCAGCTGAGGAGCTGATCGCTTACCCGCATAAGCAGATTTCTGTGGCGCGTCCCGCACTCATTCCACGCATGGCCCTTCCACTGATGACGACAGGCTGTGGGGAAAGCACAGAAAACGCAATGGAGAGGAGAGTTTTGCAGCACAGGGTATGGCGACACTGCAATCGAGGTGTGATTGCAGCACGTGTCGGCATGCACAAGCTAGCTCTAAGCGAGCGAGCTCAGGTACCGATAACAGTGAAGCCGCAGCAGTGCGGGCTGCACAAGCCCGCCCCGATCCCTGGGTACTTACTCAGGCAGCTGGCAGGCACTCTAGTCCATGCTGCTAGGCTTCACTGCTACCACAACCTGAGCTAGCCAGATTAAAGCCAACACAGGTATGTCCACACACGTTGCAATCACTCCCAGTTGGACTTACCCAGAGGGGCAACCACGGGGGATGTTTGCAGACGTGACCCATTGCCCTTCCAACATTTTATTACCTCGTTGATGCCCCCATCATCATGACTGCAGGACTCATGCATTTTCATTTCTGGCCCCTTCAACTCTTCTGCGGAAAAGGACCTAGGGCTGACAGTGGACGAGAAGCTGGATATGAGTCAGCAGTGTGCCCTTGTTGCCAAGAAGGCCAATGGCATTTTGGGATGTATAAGTAGGGGCATAGCGAGCAGATCGAGGGACGTGATCGTTCCCCTCTATTCGACATTGGTGAGGCCTCATCTGGAGTACTGTGTCCAGTTTTGGGCCCCACACTACAAGAAGGATGTGGATAAATTGGAGAGAGTCCAGCGAAGGGCAACAAAAATGATTAGGGGTCTAGAACACATGACTTATGAGGAGAGGCTGAGGGAGCTGGGATTGTTTAGCCTGCAGAAGAGAAGAATGAGGGGGGATTTGATAGCTGCTTTCAACTACCTGAAAGGGGGTTCCAAAGAGGATGGCTCTAGACTGTTCTCAATGGTAGCAGATGACAGAACGAGGAGTAATGGTCTCAAGTTGCAGTGGGGGAGGTTTAGATTGGATATTAGGAAAAACTTTTTCACTAAGAGGGTGGTGAAACACTGGAATGCGTTACCTAGGGAGGTGGTGGAATCTCCTTCCTTAGAGGTTTTTAAGGTCAGGCTTGACAAAGCCCTGGCTGGGATGATTTAACTGGGAATTGGTCCTGCTTCGAGCAGGGGGTTGGCCTAGATGACCTTCTGGGGTCCCTTCCAACCCTTATATTCTATGATTCTATGATTCTTTTTTTTAAAACATGTTTGTACCAAGGCAAATCAACAAGCAAATTAATTCTGCTCTGGATCTGCAGAATCTCTGTAAGCTACAGTTTCAACCTCAGAAATTGATCTTCACTGGCACTACTGCTATGACTAGGGCAGCGGGAATGGGCTTGCCCGGAGCAGAGGCAATAAGCAAGATGTTAGTTATGGACCAGGGCCAAAGGCCCATAGCCAGACCCTGATCTGCACACAGGATTCCCAATACTAATTGCTGGGGAGCTCTGTATGAAAAACTGATGACAGGACATGGCTTGACGTCAGGTACTCCATGACAGTTCAGTTCTGGAAGTGTTATCGTACCAGCCATACAATGCCTGAAAAAGTCTTATTTGAAATGGTTTCATCATATAATTAGGTTTGGTGGAATTCAAGTTTTTAAATTATTTTGATGGATAATATCAATGTTTATTCTTAAGCATTTTTTTCAATTTTATTCATTTACATTTTCTCAGTTGTGGGAAATTATTGAGGGGTCAGACAATAATTATTTAATGACAGCCAACATTGAGATTCAAAATGTTAAAGTCTTCATAACCGTTAAAGCACAAATTGTCAACATCACTTAGCAAACTCAACAAAGTAAATATCCTTAAATCAAACTCTAAAAAAGGTCTCAAGCAGCATCTTTGTTACTTTGCCTATCTGTCAGATCACATCATAGGCTGCAATTCCCACCGTCTCTCACAGATGAAAGAATGCCAGCAACCTTTAGATTATTATCGACGGAAATATTTGTGTCAGTTTGCGTGTGTCTGGTGAAATTGACGTTTACCAATATTTACTGATAAAAATCGTATCCTTTCAAGCCCACGTGTCATGCACAAGTGCATCCCCGTTAGGTCCTGGGACCAACATAGCTACAGTAGCACTGCATGTCCCCATTAGGTTGTCCAACAATAATATTCTGAAAAGAAAGGATTGGTGCCTGCATGTCTCCTTTGGCAGAAATAGCAATATTTGTGGTGCAGGCAATGTAAAACTGTCACATTAGCTGTGTTTGCTTCATTTTAAAGGAGGACTTAATATACAGTGGTTATGTTCAAGTACATGAACAAGGAGGGCATGATCCAATGGACGTTAAAACCAATGGAAAGATGCTCATTGACAGCAATGGGCTTTGGATCAGGCCCTAATTTAGGCTGAGTCATTGACTCATCATGGGACCTTGGAGAGTTGACTTTGCCTTCTTCAGAGAGACAAGGTGGGTGAGGTCATAGCTTTTACTGGACCAACTTCAGGTCTGAAGATGAGCTCTGTAGAACTCGAAAGCTTGTCTCTTTTACCAGCAAAGGTTCATCCAATAAAAGCTATGACCTCACCTACCTTGTGGCTCTCATATCCTGGGACCACCACGACAACAGCTTTGCCTTCTTCAGTCATTCAGACTGTGCATTTCTGTTAATGAAACGAGAAAATGGGGCAAAATCAGGCTCCGCTGTGAAACCTGGATGTACCATCTGAACAGCGTTATCCTGCACAAATACAGAATTATGATGCAATCCAATTTTCTTAACTATAATTACCCCTTAGAGGGCCCAATTCTCAGCTCATTTACTTTGGTGTAAATCAAGAATAACTCCACTGATGTCAATCAAGTAGCACGGCTGTAAATAGGACAAGTATCGGACTCAGTCTTCAAAGCCCTTTGCAAACACTGGGTCAAATCCTGAGCTCACTTGGAGCAGTGAATTCAGTGGAGTTACTCCTGATTTACACCGCTTAAGTAAGCTTAGATGCTGACCTCACTGTAACTCCACTGACTTTAGATGCATTCTTTCTTCTGCATATCAGTGTGCAATCAGACTCATTCCAATTAATTAATTCTCCAGACGTCACCATGATTAAGCAGATATTACCCTGATTCTCCAATCGGCGCGACCTAAAGGTTAAGCCAGTTATTGTCAATGCTATCATTAGAATCCAGGTATTGCGAGCTCCCAGCCCTGAGTGGTAACCATTAGACTATACCCCTCTCTCAGGCAGTAACAATTGAGGAGATGGGCATGTCCTAGGATTAATAATTGTCTGTGAGGAAATCATAGTCTAGCGGGAAACATCAAACCTTTAACTGGTCCTTAAGCCCCTGAACTACTCTGTGGGGAAATATGAAAACGGGGGGCTAAACCCAAACAAGTATAAACATACAAAGGTTTTTTGCATGGATGCAGCTGCAATTGGTACCTGTAAATTAAGTTGGCACTAGTGAAATTAACACCTTGTAGGTCAGCCAATCAGAACTCTTGAGTTAGGTCTGAACATTCCATTTAATTTACAATTCCATTGAATAGCCAACAAGGCAAGATGGTGTGCCGGTCATTAAGCCATGAGAAGAGAACAATCCTAGGTCAGTACCTAAATCCCATGTTGACAGGTGACTCGGAAAACCCAAAGAGGGATACGTACATGTAGACAGGTGAAAGACTGCATTTCATTTTATTGAGTGTGATATTTACAAGCTGGATAAAATAACAAGCAGGACTGAGGAACTGATTTCCCTTTTCTCCACTGCAAGAGGGGCAGTGACCTTCCACATGGTTTTGATGAGGTGAATCCTCACCTCCATTCCTCCTTTTCCACCCCCAGCCCTTTCACCATCTAGACACCTGATTCTTCAGCTCCTACAAGCGCCCGCTGACTGCAGTGGCAGGTCTGTGTGTGGCGCGGCTAAACAGTCAACCCATACACATAGAGGCCAAGCTTTAAAACTTGCCAGTTGCCTGAGGTAAAGATGAAGGAGTATTTGGTCCTGCCTCACCACAGCAGGCTGGACTAGATCACCTCTTGAGATCCCTTCCACCCCTCCATGTCTATGCTTCCCCAAAGCAAACAGCGATACGTAGTATCACAGCGGCACACTAACGAAAGTAGGGGGAGTAAGTATTTAGCTGAGGCAAAAACTGGCAAGTTTTGGAGATTTGTATAAAATCTCTTCCTGTTATGATCTGACCTGAAGAACGTTCTGCAAACCTGGAAACGTCTGCACTCTTCTTTGTTAGGCCCATTTTATTACTTTACCGCTGGTTCATGTTGGCATCTGTTTGGAGGGTTTACCGTTGAAGTGTACTCACCTCTGTGCCTTTTGTATCAGAAGCAACACTTCTGAGCTGTGATGTTCTCTGCAACCCCAGAGGACTGATCCCAGATTTAAAACTACAGACTAGAACAAAACATGGTCCTTCCCACCACTCCAATTCCCAGCTTTTAGGTCACATCATTATCAGCTTGGCTCTGAGCATGAGAGAATGCTTCTGAGTAGGACTGTGCCCACAAAATCCATGTGTGCATGAAGAACCTCTGTCTCTAGAGTATGCAGTGGAGCTCTGCTCCCCTCCCAGAGCATCTCAGCACTGATCACGAGTGTGCTATGCTTTCTGGAGACCAAGGAGTAAAATTCAGAGCTCCTTGCTTCCCAGCGCTACCTGGCTCTTCTCATGTACAGGTGTTCAGCCCTGCTTGGGAGCAAAGGACTATAGTTCCTTTCCATTGCAGATGGGCTCCAAATTTCAAATTCTTGTTCTCATTTACACTGGTGTAAATATGGAGTGACTCTACTGGCTTCACTCCACAATTAGACTAAAGCAGTCAAGAGAAGTGAGTCCCAGACCCATATTTTGCTTCAGACATCTCAAAGTGATCTGGGAGGATTGGTTTTACCCGTCTCTTCTTCCAGCCCCAATGACCGCTTCTCCTCACCACTCCAGAAATAGTATTTAACCTGCAGCCTTGTGACAACCCGCTGAAATTAAACTGGCATGACCTGTTTGTTTAGAGTTCTCTACAGATCTGTATCATGGTCCTCGGGAGAGGGCGTGTCAAGAGCCAACAGAGTGTCTCTTCCACTTCCTACCAGCTGAAAGAGCTAACTCTTCATTTACATGTAATATCCAGCTGTGATGGTTCCCCAAATACTTAAGAACCCTATTTTTCAAAGCCATGTTATTTTAAATACCAGGCATAACACAAAACTCTAAAGGGCAGGAATAGAGAAACCAAAATAACCAAAACAGAGGCAAGGGGACTAGAAATACCTTCAGATGATCTCTAGGGGGAACCATTACCTGGATTCTGCAGGTTAGATCTTCAACAGATGTAAATGGACTTAAATAGAGCAACACAGAGTCACACCAGCTGAGGATTAGGCCCAGTTTGTTCGTACTTTAAACACGTATATAAAGGCACTCGGAAGGGCACATAAAAAAGAATGTACATTTTTTGATACCACCTGGATTTGAAATATACATTGAGAAAGCTGTTTGGGATTCGAGAGCCTCTCCCCAGTGGCGTTTCCAAACACAGCGTTCAAGTCAAAACTCAACTTGTTCAGTAGCTGGTACTATGTGATCTTTATCTGCCTTGCGCACGCTGTCGGCGTCTCTGCTCTTCTCTCCTGTAAATAGGCTTTAAATATAAAGATTGCTGGCTGAAAGTGGTGCTGACTGTGAACAGAGACTCCGCAAAGTCTCCTCTAAGGACTTGATATTTACCTACATTAAGACATTCCTGACTTGTTATTCATCATGACCTTGAGAATCAGCCCTTTCAGTTGGCGCAGTCATAAACTCTGCCTCATTTTATGATCTTTTACCCGGTGTTATTTTTTAAGTTCCAACTCTGTACTGTAAATACTCAGTGGCTTGTACCCTAGCTCTTTTCCCTTGTGTTTGGTTCATCTCAGAAGCACCTCCTTGTTTCCAAGGGGCTCCTTCTCTGTGGCTACCACTGCTGAAAACAAGCAATAAACCATCGTAAAGGCATTGTGTCCAGGAGTCTGCACATGTTGTTTGTGAACTGATTTCTCTCCATCTTTGGGATGTACAGAGAGAGGGCAAATTCTCCATTTATGAGGAACTGATTCAGCAACGCAACTGCTGAAGGCAATAGATGCCCAGCTGTCTGTAGTCACACCACTACACGGGGTAATTCGGTTATACCTTGCCGGATGGGCCTGGCCATTGTCAGCCTGGGACCCATCCCACAAGAAAACTCACGGTAACAAAAGAAGTGGTGGCAATCTCAGCACAAGCCATGCTCCAGGTTATCACGGGGAGCTTGGCCTCTGCATATCATTAGGAGTCTAACCCTGGGCCACTGTGCAACTGGAGGTTGTGTCCTTTGGATGAACTATAAAACCAGTGTCCCGGCTCTTGACCCCTTGTGGCTATTAAGATCTCATGACATCTTTCCCAAGAGCTAGGGGTATTGAACCCAGGGGTCCTGGACAAATTCCCAACTGAGTAATTCTACATATCCAACATCTCTCCTTCAGTGCTGTTTTCTTTTCCACTTGCTGCCCTGTACTGATGTGTAATGCAGCTAGGTTCTGTTCTGCAATGGCTGCGTTTCATCCCAGACATGTCAGTAACACATGAAGGGATTCCTGTACATATGCAGGCAGGTACCTATATATTTACTGCTATGGGGCCAGATGTTAGCTCCTGCTGTAGCTGCCCTGCCTTGCTGTTGCAAAAAGAAAGCTAGTGGATTAAGTCCCATGAGGATTCCCAAGGGGAATGGGCAGCTGGGCTTAGGTTAGAGCAGTCCTAAGGCTACTCTAACTTACGCTATGGAATAAACCAGTCCCTGGCCGACCCACAGGACTGTGTGCTCACACCAGTTGCTTAAATCCGCCTTTACTTGTTCTTCCCCTATCCCATGGTTCTCCAATGAACACAGCTCAGCCAGGCAAGAGTACCCTGCCCTCGTAGTGATAAAAAGGTTAGGGTTAGGGCACAAAGGATATGTTTCACCTGCAAAAACCCACATTTGTGCAGGCAGATATAGTGCATTTTTAAAGAAATACACAAACTGGTTCTGGTAACACTTAGCACTAACAGGGGCAGCTTTGTAGCTGTGCATGCAGAATTCATACACCATTATTGCAACTGCACACAATGGTATTAACTAAGCACACAAATGGCCAGTGAAGCAATATGATCTTTGCTCACAAAGGCCCTCGCTTCCGTCCACAATCACTGGAAATTGCAAAGTTCTAACAAAAAGCTGGCCCCTGGTTGGCACAACTAATTATAAGACCGGTAAATTAACTGACTGGCAAATTCCCGACGGAGTAATTCTCCCTATGTAAGATCTCCCCTTCAATGTCAGGTGGATATTATTGTCTTTGTCACTTGCTGGGCTGTAGTGCAATGCAGGTATAATGCAGCTGGGTTCCGTTCTATGATGGCTAGAATTGTCAGTTACATTATGGGGTTTGTCAGAGCAGCAGAGGCGTTTGGGATTAAGCACCTTGCTAAAAATTTGCCACTTGAGCTTGCATATCAGTCATAATTCTAGGCCAAGTATGGCTTCTCAATGTATATTTAGCCACCTGAAAAAGCGCCTTGATTTGCCACCGAGTGCAGTGGGGGCTGTTGGATATTCAGCATGAACTGAAAATCAGCCCATTTATTTATGTACTTAAACAAGGATTTCAGAGACTAACTTTAGGCTTCTAATTTAGAATACTATGCCCTAGTCCTCATGCGGGCTGTCCATTTGATTGGGATCCCCTATGGATGCAGTGATCTGCACCAGTGGATTCCAGTGCAAAACAAAAGCCTTTGCTTATACACTGCGTCGTCTCCCCTTTCCTTTATCCAGCATGGTCCTTTCAGACTACATGCTTCTCAGCACAAGGTCTGTGTCTTCCTCTGGGTTTATAAAACACCTAGCACGTGATTGGCAATGGAAGTAGTGAACAGTAATACGTGCAATATGAAGTGGTGAAAACAGATCATGGGAAGTGATCACCAGGCCTTCTTTTTCATGGGGCCAGATCTTCCGCTCATGGATGTCCCCCACAGAGCTATGCCCCTTCACACCAGCTGGGAATATGACCCGTGAAATGGAGTGAACTCTGTAACCACAGATGGCAGATTTCATTGCGACATTCTGCTGCAGCTGTCCCTGTTTCCTGATCGCAGAAAACTTAAGGGCCAGTGCTTAGGTTGAGTAGAGCAGGTGGGTCCTCTTGAGCTGAGTGCAGTCATTGTGCGGCGTGACAGACTGTTCATCACAAGGAAAGGTATCACAGGCCCAAAGGCTGAGACGAGATCAGCAAAACTCATTCAGTCTGTCCTCAGCAATAATACTGTACTTGTATAAACCATCTTCCCTTTCATGATCTCTATGCACCACCCAGACATGAAGTAACTTGAGTGGCTTTGCCTGAGGGCACCCAGGAAAGTCTGCAGCCAAGTCAGCAATAAAATCCACATCTTCTGATTCCCAGTCCTGTGCCTTAAGTACCAGACCATCTCAACCTGTTACGTGGAGAGCCAGCACGTCAATTCACTGAGGGGAGTGAGGCTTTCTTTGACCGCTGGATGCAGTTCCATAGAATTTGAGATAACACACAGCAGAGGCTCCAGAGACAGGCTTTACAGCTCAGTTCTGATGTCCCAGTTCGGTGAGAAAGTGGCTTTTCCCAGTTGGGCTGTGAATAAAATGGACAAAGAATGATTGCACGTTCCCTGCCCCAGAAGGGAATCCTTTGTCAATCCACATTTGCTGTATGTATAACCAGCTGACTGGCAGCATTTGCCTTCTGTTTGCTATGGGGAACACAGGGCATGATCCAAAGACCATTGCAGCCCATGGAAAGAGTCCCATTAACCTCAAAGCAAGTTAAGATAACTTTGGATTGTCACAGGGTCCCAAATGAGTTAGGACACCTATTTCAATTCAACGGGAGTTGGACACGTAACTTTCTTAGGCACCTATGAAAATCCCACCCGAAGGGTTTGCTTGTGCAGCCCTAACTGAACAGTTATTCATGCGAGGAGTCCCACAGACATTATTGGAAGTCGGTGGGACTACTTGCACAATTATCTGCTAACGGATAAGAGAGAGGACACAGTCTGAGAGGACAGGATCACACTATAACTAGCAACACTTGGCAAAATAACTCACATGTACTCAATCCCCCGGCCCTGCCTCCGACAGCTTCTGCCAACACACACTGTGCACATCGAGGATTGTCGCTTTAGACCTTTCCAAATCACATGCAAACCATTGAACTTCCAATTGCAAACTTCTAGCGAGGAATGACGGTAGCAATGAAAGACGTTTAGTAAGGAGGCTGCCTAGTGCTGGCTGGGTCCTGCTTCCTTTACCCCTTACAGATGCAAATTATTCATGCAAATAGCCAACCCTGCAGGGTTGCATAATCAATAGCAGGCTTCTTGTCAAAGCATTGATTTCCAGCTCTTCAGCATAGAACTGCTAGACGCCAATACCCTTCATTACATGCAGCCTACTTCCACACAATAAATTATGCCATTTGATGGGAAAATACCTCCTTTCTGCATCTAGGGAGGCATTTATTATAGGATCCAGCATCCCATGTCATCTCCAGCTCCAAATGAAAGTACAGCGTTCTGTCAAGTACATTTCCAGGGGAAAACCAGTAACGCATTTGAGGGGGTTCAGATTTGATGCTCTGGGCTGGTCCATTACTAATAGAGATAAAAAATGACATAAGTACACAGACTTTAGTGACATCACAAACCCAGTGTCGTACCCCCAATTTTTAGGCAAATAATTTCGCATGCCTACAGGTTAGGCCACCCCAGCAACAGGATACTCGTATGCCAGTGATAGTCGTACATGCAAAGCGGATGATTTCCTGGGGAGGCTATATAGGCCAGTGGGTAGGGCAAAGACCTGGATGTGCAGAGCTGTGGGATCTACCACCTGCTTGGCCAATGACCTGTTGCATGATCTTGGCCAAGACCTTTCCTCTCCCACTCTGCATCTACATAGACAGTAAGCTCTTCAGGGCCGGGCCTGTCTCTCGGGGTATGGCTGCACTGCAAATGGAGATACGATTGCAGCTCAGGTAGGCATACCACTAGCTTTAATCCAGCTAGCACGGAAGGTGGCATAGGCTGCACAAGTCAGTTTGGATCCTGGGTGCCTGTACACAGCACTCGCCTGCACCAGGTCCATGCTGCCACGTCTTCACGGCTCGCCTGAGCCATGCTAACGAGGTTAAAGCTCACGCCTCACACACTGCAACCCGCCCTTTCGATTGCGATGTAGACATACCCTCCCTATGTATTTACCTGGGCCTGGAGCCTTAAAAGTACTGAGGCCCTTCGCTCCCACTGAAATCAATAAGAGGGAAGTGCCTAAATACCTTTGAAAATCTCAGCCACAGTACAATGGGGCCCCGATCTCAGCTGAGGCCTTTTTGATCTCCCACAGTTGAAATAATAATATTAATAAATTTGGGGGCATCAATGCAATTTACATCTTCACAACCAAAATGTTTGTATTTCCACCGAAGACTGAACAGGTGCAGAGAACTGCCCCACACTGATGTGTTTTAGACCAGCCTTGCAAAATCATCCAAAATCTACTCTCCTGTCCAGGCTGTTCCTACCAGCTAATTAAAGCAGCTAGTTTTGCTTGTGGGTCACAAAATATTCTTTCCCTCCTCGAAGGTGGGGTGAATTTTGCAAGGCTGCTTTTGGTCAGATTCAGCTTTTTCGATAGTTGGGGCCTTAAGTTTGTTCTTGGTTCGTTTTCTGGTTTAAAGTATTGACGCTGCTGAGTATATTGGAACGATTTCCTCAGTGCGGCTATTTGGAACGACTGAGCTTGCCATTTCGTTGCAACACCAAACTCATTTCTTTTGCTAGTCGATTCAGCATGAAGAAAGTCTCCCTGCTTTGCAATAAATTGCTCCTGGCAGACAGAAATGTAACGTACACCCTCCCACCAGGAGCAAATGCAAATTAGACCTTTGCTCGCTCC